TTATAAAGGGATAAATTGTTTCGTGTTGAATTGTGAATTTGTGAGAGGGAGGAAAAAAAGAAAAAATTAAAATTTATTTATTGGTTAGGAGAAGTTACAAATTTGACTTTTTTTTTGAAAAAAAAAATTTTAAAAAAAAAAAAATTTCTAATATTATCAATTTATGATTTGTTATGCATCATTAATAAATGGATTAAATGTCATTTGAAAATTTTTATGAAATGTTAAAAAATAGGAAAATTTGAGTTTTTTTTTCAGAAATATATTTGTTAATTAGTTAATAAATAAGCTAATTTAATATGAGATACGTGAGCTAATTAATTAACATCGGCTAAATAATTAAGGGATATGGATTGATTAAATGGGCTAAAATTTACCAAATTTAATTCTAATTAAATTAGATGTAAGCTAAGTTTTAGAATTTAATAATATAAATAATAATAAAAAAAACTTTTGAATGATTGTTTATATGATATTAGCAAGAAATATTTAATTCAATGAATATATGAGCTAATTAATTAGCGCTGCTTAAACGACTAATAGATGTATTATATTTAAATCAATGCAAAATAATCTGATCATTTTATTATCATTACTTGAGACTAAAATATGATATTTATAAGTACCAATATTTTAGATTTCAGTATTTCATTCCTATTAATTATATGTGGTACTACCTGAATGGTACATTTCAAATTCATTCTTTAATTACAAATTTCTATCCAACATGATTCGTTTTTTGTAAACAATTTCAGTAAACGTTTAAAAAAAAGAAAAAAGAAGGAAGAAAAAGGAAAGGGAAATTCATCCTAAACAAATCATTAAATACAAAAAAAAAAAAAAGAATTTTATGATTCATTTTTATTTCATATCAAATGTTTTCCTTTGCTTCTTCGTTTCTGTCTTTCGTATTAACAAATAAAATTACAAATTGAAAGTGAAATTTAAAATTTTAATTTCATTTCTTTTCCTGCCGGTTAATTTGAAATTAATAAATTTTAATTTCACTTTTTTTCCTATTAGTTAATTTGAAATTAGTAATAAATTGAGAAAAGAAATGTAAATTCTGGTAAATAATTTCATCAAATATTTTAAAAATTACGGTAATATTGGTATAAGATAAATTAAATTTATTAAAATGGATGATAGTTCGAAGAGATGAATGCAAATGTGATTAATTATTTATTTAATTTTTGAAATAGTAAGATTATTTATCTATCATAGAAATAACATAATCATTATTTATCTTGAAGCAAAGCAAAATTTTTAAATATTAAATTATTTAATAATTTTATATAGCAATATATATTTATGATAGAAATTTTCATTATTGCTAATTATTGTAATTAAATATCTTAATTTTGGATAATATAATTGGAATTGAAATAATGATTAATAATCATTACATTATTTTAGATTTTTGATACGAATAATATGAAATTATTTGTTACAAAAAGAAAAAAAAGTAAATATTTATTTACTCTTTCCGTTATTTCCCATTTTGACGTACGTGTGGTATGAATACTGTCATCGGAATTTGATATTATCGCTTTTTCTTTCGGCTGAAAAAAAAAAAGCTAATACAGCTAATTGAAAAGCTAAAAAAGCTAATTAAGTGTGATTTTTAGGAATTAAATTTGGAAATTAATTTAATGAATTTAAAAACAAACTTCTTTTCCTTCACTTTCATCATGACGTGTTGATTTTACAATTGCCCATATTGGTGAATGTCGACGAGTGTCTTCTTTTTGCTAAAATCAATATGCATTTTATTTTTGAATTTCAAAATTACTAAATCTAAACTTGAAAAATAATAATTTATATATGTATATTTAAGTAACAATTTATATGTGTACTCAAGTACCAATTTACTTATATATATCTTTAAGTAATAACCTATGTGCACATTTGTATTTAAGCAATAATTCATATATATATATATACATTTAATTAATTAATAATTAACACATACTTTTACTTAACTAATAATTTGCACATATGCAAATTTGGGTAATAATTTATATATATGTATATTTAAGTGACAATCTGTACATATATGTATTTTAGTAACGATTTATATGTGTGCATTGAAATATTAATTCACATAAGTGTATTTAAGTAATCATTATTTATACACATGTATTTAAGCAATAATTTATATACATATATATACCTGTTTAAGTACTGATTTATATATATATTTAAGTAATAATTTATATATATATATATATGTTTGCATGTTTGTATTTGAATTATTTGATATTTCATTTTCGTTTGTGTTAGCCTTCTATCAAATAATATAATCTAAATAACTGATATATTGTTTAATCAATAATTCAATATTAATGTAACTTTGTTATTTTTGCTTATTGCAATGAATGAAAAGTCATATAGTATAAATAAACAAAATAAGTAATCAATTAATTAATAATTAAGAAATTATAAAATAGAAAATTGAAAAACAATAACAATAAAAAATAATTCTTACAGCAATTTCTTCATCAAGTTCACGTGTTTTTTCTAATGTTGACGCAGTGGAATATGATATTTTTTGAGGTTTCCTATCCCAAGTTTCCGAGGATATCAATCGTCCTTCTTGATTCTGTTTCACCAAAATTGTTGATGATGGTACGGTACTACCGGTATCCATTGCTGCTGCTAATCTCTCATCATAACTTGTAATATCACGATGTTGCAATTTTCCACTATCCCATAATTCATGAGTTATTCTTGTTGTTGGTGGTGTTACAGTAACAGGCGAAAAATGTTTTGTATCATATTGCCATGCACCTTTCGAACTGGATGACCATACTTCTGTTTTCTTCTCTTCCGTCCATTGTTGTCGATGCGGCATCGAATCTTGCGTAAACTGAAGATTCTTCCGCATATGTAATCTATGCGCTATTTGATGAATGATAGATGACAGTTAGGACAATTTTTAAATATGATATGTAAAATTAGCCAAACTTTTCTGCCTATAAGACTAGCCAAGAATATGCAAAATTGTTGGCTAATATTATTGCTATTTAGTAATCTTTGCGTTTTCTTCTGAAGTTAATTTTTTGTTTCGTTTTTTTTTTATCTATTAGCTTATTTTTGAATAATTTAATTGAAGAGCTTTAAAACGATGTATTTTTTATAAATTACTAATAAAACATACCTTTTCAATTTTCTGTTCATATAATGAAGGCGTAATTGGTTTGTCACCTGCTCGACGACTGATTTTTTGCGAATCATATTCATAAACGGTAATCTAAAAAAATTTGTTTAGCTGTTTGAATTAATCATGCTATCATTTGTACTGTAGCATAAATAATGAACAAT